TGATTCTAGGAACTTGAGATTGTGAGAAAAGACAAGACGTTGGGAAATGAGTGACAAAACGGTGACTCACCAGTGACATCACGTCTACCCGTATCCAGGCCGATACGGGTAGCCGGGTATTGGGTAGGGTAACGGGTATCGGGTACCCGTTGCGACCTCTGCTGTTGATTGTCTGCTGTACCCTCTGTAGAGCGTGAGTGCATCACTCTGCGTTCTCCGCTTGCTGCGAGTGTCACGTGGGGATCGGTGGCAGCAGCGGTTGGACGCACTCTCTGCACCAACTCCTGTGACCGTTCGATTCCCGCGACCACATGGCCAACACTGGTGACGATTAGTGTGAACCGTTTCCTGGGCCTCCCCTAGGTCGACTTAGACAAAATTAGTAGCTGGTGTGATCTGTAACGCATTGCCACTAAAGAGACAAAGGTGTGGCGCTGGCCACCCACCCTCGCGTGCCTTCATAGGTGCTGCTACTCGCGAACAGCACTTGCCCCAACAGTCTATTAGGCTACACGGGGGATCCTTGTCTCGGTCGTGTGTGTGTGTGCGTTGCGTGTAACATGTAATATGTCTGCAGAATCAGTCGCATGGAGAAGAAACCCTGGACAGAGCCCAGCGCTAAAAGGCACGAATGCGAGCGGTGTCCGTACACCACGGATCGCACTGGAAACATGAATCAGCACCTGAGAACTCAACACGGGCGAAAAGCCATTCAAGTGCAGCCGTGTGTGTGAAGGCATTTTCTTCCTCACAAAATCTTAAATTCATCAGAGAACACACACAGGGGAGAAGCCATTCATGTGCACTGCATGTGGGAAGGCATTTGCTCTCTTACAAACTCGTCAATATCATCAGAGAACACACACAGGGGAGAAGCATTCATTGCACTGTGTGTGGGAAGGCAGTTGCTCTCTTACAAACTCTTCAATAGCATCAGAGAACACACACAGGGGAGAAGCCATTCACAGTGCACCGTGTGTGGGAAGAGGCATTTGCCCGTTCAAACTATCTCTAGTTCACAAGAGAACGCACACAGGTGAGAAGCCCTTCAAGTGCACTGTGTGTTGGAAGGCATTTGCCTCTTCAAACTACCTTCAAATTCACAAGAGAACACACACGGGTGAGAAGCCCTTCACGTGCACAGAGTGTGGGAAGGGTTTTATTTCGTCAGGAAGACGAACGATGCATGAGAAGATCCACAAGGAGAGTGTGAATCGACTCGTGAAGGTCAAAGTTCAGCTGCCATGAGCCCATCAGCTCTCATAAAACAAGAACAGGAGGACTACGACGACTTCGCCACGTGGCCGGGAGTGACAGTGAAGTGTGAAGAAGGGACGACCGTGAAACGTGAGGGTCAGGAAGCTTCTCCAGGCACTTGTTAATGTCATCGCAGCATCCCAATGCAGTATTCTCAACACAAATATCTCGAGACGCAAGGAGGCTATTCCGGACAAAATTATTCACGTTATTCTTATGATTATTGTAATCCTCACGTGTGATATTGAACTTCTTTCGCACAGTACGTAGCCAACCTTGCTATACATCCTAAATAGAATAGGCATCCTATGCAGAGACCGGTGCCTGCCAATAAATGTGGTATTTCCACCCTCGAGGTCCTTCGATTGCGATGAGAACCGTGCAAGTGTGTATTTGACAATGGTGACACTTTGATTTCTGTTAAGGAATCAAAAACCCCTTGCGACCGTCTGCACTGTACAAGTGTCAACAGTTGTGAACTCTGACACGTCACGGTTGAACCAGCGGACATTGTTTTTCTATTGGAGGAGCCACAATGGTGTGGACCACTCCCTAAGGCCTCTTGTCCCTCATCTCGCCACTCGTCCAAGCTCCCCCCCAAGCCTCAATTCAAGGAGCGACGGAGCGAGCTTCAACGAGGGTGACCCTTCCGCTAAGAATGCGATGTCACTGGCCTGCCTGGAAATGGAGCGTGGTGGATGGGCTCTGATGTGTCAGTGACTTTGCCTCGGTGTGAACAAGAGTTGCCCCCCCCACTGACCCCCATGGGGCAGGACTGCCCGACCACTCCGGCAGCTGCCGTGTCCAGCCCAGGTTTTGCCCCGGGACGGTGAGGATCATTGATCCATGATCATCATCAGCATCATCCTCGCCGTCCGGATTGTAATCGTTGATACGATCGGTAGATTCCCATCGTCGTCACCGTCATCGCGTTTCATTCATCACGTTCCATTCAGCACTGCTGATGTTACGTACCGACGCATTACACTGTGTGTCCTCAACAGCGCTTCGTGAGAAATAATCGCCAATGCAATTGTACGTTGACAACACTTGTATTGGGTTGTGTATCGTTCTGCTTGCAAAAGAGTATAATGTGTAGCATTTAGCATGAATACATTGGCTATTATCAACATTGGAGAAAATGGCTTGAAACATTTTTGAAAATCTCTGCTGTGATCGTTAAAGTTTGAAAAACATTAACCCGTAAAAACAAAGTTTTCCACTCTAAATCCTTTATATGCGTGGCGGCTAGAGTCCTCTCGTCCTCTGGCTTGAGATGGCTGCCACCTATGGTAGCATGATTCGTCTGCCAGCATTAAGCAATTGGTAAGTAAATATTTAAAAAAATTCCTAAACAGTGGTAAAATTTTGAAAAAAATTTTCACGAAATTAATTGTCACGCCACGAGTCTGTGTGGAAAATGTCAGCTCGATTGGATCACGGGAAGTGGGTTAAAAACGTCCGAAAGATTTGCACGGTCATAAGCAAGCAAGCAAGTAAACTTAATATAAAGGATTTTAAAAAGTAATTTGTAAAGATGTTTTTGCATTTCAGGGTTTATTTGGATGGGTGCTACAGTGCAAACAAGTCTGTGCCTGGTTGGGAAGACGTGAAATAATGTCAAAGTTTTGGCCACGGGGGGTTTGTTCAAATAGTTTGTTTTGTAAATATTTTATTTACGTGAAATTTCTTGTGAGTATTTGGTTTGTCCCACAGTGCAAACACAAATTAAATTTGCACGAGGTCACGTGGCCTGCTTGTTGCACTAGTGACCCACTAGTTTAGAGTTTTTATTTTACGAAAAAAAAAGTTTCGTTGTATTTTTTTATTTTTTTTACAAATAAACATTACGACTGTTTAGAATTATGACGGTTAACCGAAGTGGTTTTCGTCTCTCGTACCGTCTGTATTTGCTACTTACAGCTGCAAACATTATTTTGTCTTCGCGTGGGTTGACCGTCTGATCGCGTGGTGCAGATTTGTCTTGAAAGGGGGAAAAGTCAATCGGACAATTTTTAAACAAACCAACATATCATTGGACCTCAAAGCAATGGCATATGCACCATAAACTCGTCCTGAGATTCGGAATCTGCGTCTCCTAAATTCTAGAAATATCAAATGATACAGCAACCCATGGTTTGATAGCTTGGGTTACGGTGTACATTCTAATTTGTTCTTTGGGGGTGGCCAATTTGATCGTCCGTATTTACGTATTTGCAGCAATATATCTCAAGCAGCCATGGCTTGGTTAAGTAACACTGGTCAACAACAAAACAAACATTGTTTTCTGGCCGGGACTTTTGCAGCTGTTCTAGACTAATTTGCTGATTGCAAATCTGATCTCAGATTTGCTCCATCACATCATTTATAAATCCTTTATATTAAGTTCGCTTGCTTGCTTACGACAGTGCAAATCTTTCGGTCGTTTTTTAACCCACTTACCGTGATTCAATCAAGTTGACATTTTGCACACAGACTCGTTGTGCGTGACAATTAATGTTCGTGAACATTTTTTTCCTAAATTTTACACTTTATAGGACAAAAATATTATATTTAATTACCAATTGTTTAATACTGCAGACAATCATCTGACCCATAGGTGGCAGCCATCTCAAGCCAGAGGACGAGAGGACTCGAGCCGCCACGCAGTAAAAGGATTTATAGTGATAAACGTTGTTTTTACGGGTTATACTTATTATGCCTAATCGGCATACCCCCATTTTCATTGATTTTAAACCCGAAGTTAACTCTGTCACTTATTGTTCGAGTCAGTGACTGCTTTAGTATTAAATACGGTGCTTTGTTTTAGGATAGTGTGTTTATAATATCATTTTATGTAGATATCCACATTTAGTTAAAATATTTTTTCTTCCACAGTTTTTAATTGAAAAATGCAAAATTTGACATCTCAAAAACCTGATGTGATAGACAAAAACTGATGCCAGATTTGAAACCTTTTCGATTTAAAGCATTTCGTGACTGCAGGGATTCATCTTCTTGGTTCTTTCGGTAAGTCACGTAGAAGGTAGAAATAATAAAATATTAAAAATAAAAATAATAAAAATAATTCTCAACGACGTTTCGGCCACAACTGCAAGCAGCCGTCCTCAGGTGAAGAACCATGTCTGTCGGAAAGACAGAGTCCTGAATGTCGCCTCGACAGACCTGGTCTTCACCTGAGGACGGCTGCTTGCGTTGTGGCCGAAATGTCGTGATAATTATTTTATGTTCTATTATTTTTATTATTTATCTACTTCCCTTCTACGTGACTTTACCGAAAGAACCAAGAAGAAAAAAACATAACATTTCGATTAAAGCTTTCGTGACTGCAGGGATTCATCTTCTTGGTATCGGTAAAGTCCGCGTAGAGGAAATAATAAAAATATGTTTTATTATTTCCTTTCAAAAATGTTTTATTCTTATTCATACTTCTTGGTTCGGTAAAGTCACGCAGAAGGGAATAATAAAATAAAAAAAGATAACTTTTATTCTTTTATTACTTCCCTTCTACGCGACTTTCCGAAAGTACCAAGAAGAAAAAACACAACACTCTAATATGAAAAGAAAACAAACCTTGTTGGCCAAGGCGATGGCGTCATTCCGAGTCAAGGCCGGTGACCTGCCCATGTTACAGCGTGGAACCTGCACCGTCATAACGCGCCTGTTATAGCGTGGAAGCTGCAACGTCATAACGCGCCTGTTATAGCGTGGAAGCTACACCGTCAGGAGGCTGAACAAGTCTGCTACAGCACGGAACGTGGTGCCGTTTTCTGGAGCGTGTCGACCATGCTGGGCGGGTCGTGGGCCGCGGACGTGGGTTGCGGGCGGCTCATCGACACGGGGGGGCAGTCGTCCATCCTGCTGCGGGAGGCGAGAGAGGGAGGGAGGTGAGGGAGGCAGGGGAGGCAGGGGAGGGAGGTGAGGGAGGTGAGGGAGGGAGGCGAGGGAGGCGAGGGAGGTGAGGGAGGGAGGCGAGGGAGGTGAGGGAGGCAGGGGAGGCAGGGGAGGGAGGTGAGGGAGGTGAGGGAGGTGAGGGAGGGAGGCGAGGGAGGCGAGGAGGGAGGCGAGGGAGGCGGGGGAGGCAGGGGAGGCAGGGAGGGAGGTGAGGGAGGTGAGGGAGGTGAGGGAGGGAGGTGAGGGAGGTGAGGGAGGGAGGTGAGGGAGGGAGGCGAGGGAGGGAGGCGAGGGAGGTGAGGGAGGCAGGGAGGCAGGGGAGGGAGGTGAGGGAGGTGAGGGAGGTGAGGGAGGCGAGGGGGGAGGCGAGGGAGGCGAGGGAGGCAGGGGAGGCAGGGGAGGGAGGTGAGGGAGGCGAGGGAGGCGAGGGAGGCGAGGGAGGCGAGGGAGGCGAGGGAGGGAGGCGAGGGAGGTGAGGGAGGCAGGGGAGGCAGGGGAGGGAGGTGAGGGAGGTGAGGGAGGCGAGGGAGGCGAGGGAGGTGAGGGAGGGAGGCGAGGGAGGTGAGGGAGGGAGGCGAGGGAGGTGAGGGAGGGAGGCGAGGGAGGTGAGGGAGGGAGGCGAGGGAGGGAGGGTGGTGAGGGAGGCACGGGAGGGAGGAATCAGACAAACGTCCATCTGTTAAAAGTCACGTATGCTCAGAATCAAGAGTCTGTATTCAGGCTGGAGGAGGAAAGGAATCCGATGAGCTATGAAGCTCTCTTTCACAGAGGTCCAGTAAGGTCACGGGGTCACGAGTTCACGCTCGCACACACGGAGGCTGTCACCGTCCGATTCGCAACAACGCGGGTGCTGTGCCAGTGGGTCAGTGGGCGAGCGGGCCTGTGGGTGAGGGTCAGTGGGCGAGCGGGCCTGTGGGTGAGTGGGTCAGTGGGTGAGTGGGCCTGGGTGAGTGGGTCAGTGGGTGAGTGGGCGAGCGGCTCAATGGGTGAGTGGGCCAGTGGCTGAGTGGGTGAGTAGGTGAGTGGGTGAGTGGGTGAGTGGGCCAGTGGCTGAGTGGGTCAGTGGGTCAGTGGGTCAGTGGGTCAGTGGGTTAGTGGGTCAGTGGGTCAGTGGGTGAGTGGGTCAGTGGGTCAGTGGGTGAGTGGGTCAGTGGGTGAGTGGGTCAGTGGGTGAGTGGGTCAGTGGGTGAGTGGGTCAGTGGGTCAGTGGGTGAGTGGGTCAGTGGGTGAGTGGGTCAGTGGGTGAGTGGGTCAGTGGGTGAGTGGGTCAGTGGTCAGTGGGTGAGTGGGTCAGTGGGTCAGTGGGTGAGTGGGTCAGTGGGTGAGTGGGTGAGTGGCTCAGTGGGTGAGTGGGTCAGTGGGTGAGTGGGTGAGTGGGTCAGTGGGTCAGTGGGTCAGTGGGCGAGCGGCTCAGTGGGTGAGTGGGTCAGTGGGTCAGTGGGTGAGTGGGTGAGTGGGTCAGTGGGTGAGTGGGTCAGTGGGTGAGTGGGTGAGTGGGTGAGTGGGTCAGTGGGTGAGTGGGTCAGTGGGTGAGTGGGTCAGTGGGTGAGTGGGTCAGTGGGTGAGTGGGTCAGTGGGTGAGTGGGTCAGTGGGTGAGTGGGTCAGTGGGTGAGTGGGTCAGTGGGTGAGTGGGTGAGTGGGTCAGTGGGTGAGTGGGTCAGTGGGTGAGTGGGTCAGTGGGTGGGAGAGTGGGTCAGTGGGCGTGGGTCAGTGGGCGAGCGGCTCAGTGGGTGAGTGGGTCAGTGGGTGAGTGGGTCAGTGGGTGAGTGGGTGAGTGGGTCAGTGGGTGAGTGGGTCAGTGGGTCAGTGGGTGAGTGGGTGAGTGGGTGAGTGGGTCTGGGTGAGTGGGTCAGTGGGTGAGTGGGCGAATGAGCAGGTGAGCGGGCGGCCGGGCGAGTGGGCGAGGGAGCGGGTGGGACCTCACCAGCTGTCGTTGCGATAGTCTCGGTTGCACACCGGCTTGCGCAGCCGGCACCAGACGAAGAAGCCGATTACGGTGACGACGAGAGACACGCCCGGCACGGCGCCCGGCACGGCGCCCGGCACGGCGCCCGTCACGGCGCCCGTCACGGCGCCCGGCGTTACTGCTCGCTGCACGCGGCACACCACGTATCACACGCACGCCAGCGTCACTGCACTACGCACACACCACGCATCACACCCCACACACACCACGTATCACACCACACAACACCACACACACATCACACACACCACACACACACCACACACACCACCACACACCACACACACCACACCACACACACACACACACACACCACACACACCACACACACACACACCAACACACACCACACACACCACACACAACACACACCACACACACACCAACACACACACCACACACACATCACACACACACCACACACACACCACACACACACACCACACACACACCACGTATCACACCACACACACCACACACACACCACACATCACACACACCACACACACACACACACACCACACACACACACACACATCACACACACACACACACATCACACACACCACACACACACCACACACACCCACCACACACCCACAACACCACGTATCACACCACACACACCACAATCACACACCACACACACATCACACACACCACACACACACCACACACACCACACACACACCACGTATCACACCACACACACCACACACACACCACACACACACCACACATCACACACACATAACACACCACCACACACACACCACACACACACCACGTATCACACCACACACACACCACACACACACACACACACACCAGCATCACACCACACACACCACACACACACCACATCACATCATCATCGTCGTCATCGTCGTCATCGTCATCATCGTCATCATCATCATCGTAATCATCGTCATCGTCATCATCGTCATCATCGTCGTCATCATCGTCATCATCATCGTCGTCATCGTCGTCGTCATCGTCGTCGTCACATTGCTCGCACTGGTAGAGGTGGCACCCACCCAGCACGGAGGGTAATGGTTCCTCTCCGCCAGCCTTCTTCCACTCGTAGCTGGGCGACGTTCCCTCTGTGGACAGGCACGCAGAGACAGCTCCTTGCCCTGCAGCACCGAACCGTTCACCACGCAGCTGGGCTGGCTCGCCTTCACTGCACCAGCTGGGAGAGTGGGGGGGGAGCAAGGGGCAGAGGTCGCAAACGGGTTTTGATTCCTTACCCGTACCGGCCGCACCAGGGTCGCAACCGGCTACCCGTACCCTACCCGATACC